ACACAGGGAGGCAAGAGCTGAAGGTGGAGGAATTGTCATAGCAGTGGTATTATTATTTCCCAACTGTATCCACGTATTTACTCACCTGGTTCTTCCACAGACATCTGTGCCTCAACAGAAAGGCAGACATCCCACTGCCTTTTCAGAGCCCAGGAATGATGCTGCAAAAGACCACGAATAGGAACAAAAGTAGGAACAGTTTCACTCCACCTTTTTTATTCTGTCCAGCTCCACAGGAAGGAAATATTCTGTTAACATGGAGCAAATACAGTAAAGAGTTGAAACAGTAAAATGCACTCCACAGTATTAGCCAATACTTCCAAAGTGCCTTATCAATGAAAAAAAACCCAAGCACCCAAACCAAAAAGAACTTATTTCCAATACCTGAATCACCTTTCTCTCCCTCCCCAACCCCAATTTCTCTTCAGAGAAAACTGAAGTTTTAATAGTTTTTCCCCAGTAATAAATGGAATTTTATGGCAGAACCAGAAATAAAACTAGGTCTTCCTAATGCCTCTATTCCTTACTCCAAACACAGCAGGAACTAATTGCAATTCCACTGTTCAGTCATTGCCATAGAATTATCTGTCTTTTTCTTTTTTGACTGAGAAAGAATGTAATTTAATGTAAGAATCAAAAAAATTTCAACAGGGAACTGTTTCCCAGGTAATCTGCACCTAGGATTTCTTCTCAGCAAGGTGGCTTTGCTCAAGCGTCCTTTTACTCCCCATATTCTCTCCCATGGCACAGCCATGCGGAGTCTCTGTAAAGCACTGTGCAAGATGAACTGCTGCAGTTACTCAAATTACTTGTTTGCCATTTTTAGGTGCCCTCAGAGAGCAGGGAAAGTTCAAAGAAAATGAATCTATTACCTGTATCCCTTCACATTTAAACTGTGCATGAGGAAGCTCTGGGTCTGTTGAGGGGACCTACAGTACACTCCAGCTGCTTCAAATACAGTAGCAACATCAAGAGTAGAGAATGCAAATACCGATTTTTTCACTGCCCCTTCAAAATTAACTTTTTTTACAAGCTCTCTTTTTTCACATGAAAGTTGAGCTTTTTTAATTCGTTCTTGGGAACAAAGGGCAACCTTGTAATTTGAGTAAGCAGAAGCCTGGAACGCTGCTCTCCCCAGGGACCTGCAAAGGTGTAACAACTGAGCTGTTGTGCCTGTCTTGTTCTTAGAAGGGGAAATATACAGCTTCACTCCTTTCTGCAGGCACTGAGCGAGAGAGTTTGGTCAGGAAAACAGTAGGAGCCAGAACGAATTCCAGTTCCCATGGCCTCCCAGTCGCTGCTAACAACAGGAAGTATGAGGTGAGCAGAGACTGCTCTTTCCTCTTCTTGCCTGGAAACACAATGCCCCTTTCTAGACTGGGATAAAAACATGTTACAGGCGTATATAGTGATAGGTATATACAGGTATATGCCACTGACAACCAGTTTGACAAGTCTAATGTAGCAACGACAGCAAGTATGTTCAGTTACATGTCAGGCTGGGCTCCTTCTCATTAGTGCATCAGTCAGCTGAATAATGTCAAACAAACATTACATATGCACTACCATCATGCCTTTATACTCCAGTTCTGTCAAGCACAAACCAGAGTTGAACACAGCCAGAATTCACATTTAAATAACACTGGATTAACTGAAGAAGCACTTAAGAAGGAGATATGAAGGAAGCTGCTGATTAATAAGGGGTTTCTTTCAATATTTTTTAAATTAATATTTTGAGACTTCATTTTGCTTTAGGATAGCGGGATATGAGTACTGCACCTCCAAGGTATGTTAACAAATCACACAATCAGAATCAGTCTTTGCTTTCAGAAGATACATAGAGCACAGAACTACAGTAAGAAAGGAAGGAAAGAGGTTCATCGTCTCTTAAATTAGCCTGCAGAAGATCCTGCACAGTGCTGCTCCCAACCCAGGAGATCTCTCATGGACCTATGTGATTTTGAGTCTTCCTAATGGTTTAAAGCATATTTTCAAGAAGACTCTGCCTAGGACTTCACTACGATCTAAATCTAATCTAATGATCTCATTCCCTACAGTTACCATTCATCTCAGCTTTTATTTCGCTGATTCTAATAAAGATTCTATGTTTTTTCCTTAATTAGAAAAATATGGGAGAAACAAATGATCCATCATTGCATACTGGAGATCCATTTAGCCATGCAGAATGAGTAAAAATTCCTAAAAATTTTCTACTCGCAAACTCTGCAATGATTTCTCACGTGTGCAAAGAACTGCAAAGCAGTGGGTTGGAGAACAGGGTAGGATGGGAACGGTGACAGGGATGACGATGGCACAAGAAAAAAGAACCACCTTCACCTGTAATGCACTAACAAGTTGTCAATAAATTAGTCCCTGACCACTGAGATAATGGTTTGTAAATGGTGTGGGAAATAATTTAATTCTGCAGCAGTTTGTGCTTTCACTTCATTCCTCAGAGAGCTGGTCACTACTTTAATCCTGCAGTTACTTTTTCCTGGAGCTGCAGTCTGCAGTGACTAAAAGCTCGATTAAGCTTAACAAAAGGTGCAGAACTCTTGCCTTAAGTCTGCATTATGACTAATTCAGTTGCTCACAACTTCATCTACTTCCTTAGGAACCAAACAGCTCATGGTTTATTGCACCATTCTGCCCAGAAGGAGATACATTAAGGCTTCCTCACTTCATTTAAAATTTTAGGGCCTTATTAAGGGCAAAAATTATCAGGTTATGGAAGGAAAGTTTGACTTTCGAGTAAAAGGAGTTTCAATGATTTCCAATAGGTAATTTTTCCAAATTCACAGACTCTTGTATGACCTATTGGAATGTCTGAATAGAGACAGAAATAGACACAACCTGAAAAGAACAAAAAAACAAAAGAAAAAAAAAAAGGAGAGGTAAAAAAGCAGATGATTACACAAGAAAAAAGATATAGGAGAAGAAATAGGGGGGAAAAATAGAAAGAAAAAAAGCAAGAAAAAAAGAGAAGAGGAGAAAAAGACATCACCTTCAAAGCTCTCCACATATAAGCTGCTCATCAGGGAATTCATTGAGAACTGGCGCTGTCAGCACACAGAGAGAGCACAGCAATGAAGGGCATGGTGCAAGACCACTAGGTATAGATTTTTTCCTCTCAATTTTCTAAGGACTCCACATCAGGACAGCTGTCATTTGGAGGATGCTCATTCACCTCCTTCCTGCCGCTGCTCACTGCTGGAGTGACCTGCCAGGCAGGTGTCACTGCTGTGTCAGGCACAGTCGTGCTCCCTTCCCTCTGCCTGACCTGGCTCACTAGCAGTTGTTCCTCACTAGTAGTAGTGGTATTTATGAGACACAGATGCCATTCACACTCACTTCAAGAAGAAGCCTGCAGGTACTGCCACATCTGTTGCTCCCCTGACCTACTTTTGGACACATGGTGTTATTTAGCCCAGGACTTTCTTTTCTTCTGTTGACAGGTGCCTAGACAACGCAATCCTGGAACAGCAATGGGGTTTGTTTCTAGGCATGGGCACAGCACTAATAGTTACTGATTTGAGTTTCCTTTGTCCCCACCTATGATGGCTACATCTGTCCACAGACTGTAAACTTATGTTTGATGACAGTATTGTTTTGTTCACTTGGTAATTACTCAGTATTACATAGGAGTTTCCAGGCATACATGACTTCCCTGCTTGCACAGTCTAGGAATAGCAGTAGTTTTGTCTTTCCAGTAAGACTTCTCTGCCTTCAGGGGAAATACAAATCAACACCATCTACCTGCAGATGTTTTGATATGAAAACTTTTGTGAGTTTTGAATACATGCACACAAATGATGCTAAAAAGCATTGTACCTGGGAACAGATAACCAAAGAGAGGATCCTCTGTATGCAAATTGAAAGGACTTTGGAACCCAAACCCTTTGTGCTACAGTTGGTGGTTTGAGTGTTTCAGAACTGGGAAATTAATCATGGCACAAATTACTGGACCAAGCCACATAATTTACCAGACCGGATATACCTGAAGCTTGAGCCTGGGGCCTATATGCATCCTGACAGACAGAGGTGCAAAATGTTCAGTGAATCAAGCAGGACTATATACTTGAGATAAAACTTCACTGGCACTAAACTTTCTGATATCTAGTTCACAACACAGAGAAAAATGACAGAGTTAAAGCATTTACATTCTAGTGAAGTTAAAAAAAATACACATTCAAGTGACTGATTGCTTGAGTCTTATTCTATCAGAGCTTTTCTTCCTCTTTTCCAATGAAGGTCCCCAGTAAATTACAACAGACTCAAAATTCTGGCGCTGAATGGAAAAAATTTTCTGGTAAACCAAGAGGTTTGGTAGAGTTATTACAGCTTTACCCTGCTTGTTTAATCAGCAGGAAGAATTTGGCCCTTATTAAGAAAATATAAGAAAGCTGAAATAGGTAGAGCTTGCAAACTGGAACAGATAAGGAAATAATGGAAACGACAGCAAGTCCAACCCCACCTTATCTCTCCATGAATCTTGGAGTTTTCAAATAGGTTATATGACTTCATGTCAAGTAAAATATCTGACAAGAAAATAAATAAGAAAAAAAGTATGAAATTTGTGTTTGATTCTGCTTTAACTTACACTTCTGTAAATCTACTTCAGCCAAAAATCTGACATGTGTGACATAATACAGGAGAGTGTCCTGGAAAAACCTTCATGTAACTCTAATAAATAAATAATGTACTTCAACATACTGACAAGAAAAAAAAAAAAAGGAAATAAAAACTAAGTGGAGTATACGCTAATCTGCACTTAGGAAAGTTCTTCTACTCCAGAATATTTCATGTTCCCAACACCCAGGGCACTGTGAAATGAAAGTATTTTGCTCAGCCTTAGAAACATTTCCTAAATATTTACCTGTGACATAGTCCATATAATTTTGTCTTTGCTTTTTATGAACAAATATAATACCATTTACTGATCGGATGGATGACAAAGAAAAAACAACAATTACCCAGAAATGCCTAAGGGGGAGCATAAGTGGTTTTTTTAAGTATTTATTTCATTACAACATAAGTTGGAGTACATAAAAAGCTTTACCTATATATACGTCAAAAATTAAACTATTAATACATCAGTTACACACATAATTCACCTGAAGTGTGAACAGTGTCTAAAGCATTTGCATTAGTTAATGGTGAAAGTGGTAGCATTGACATTGTTATTTCATGATTTCACAAATTTCTCCAAGGTTTATCCACTAAGGCTTAAAAGCAAAGCAAGAACCTCCTGCAAAAGGTAGCTTATGTGCTGGTTTATTGTGATGATTTGAGAAGCATTGCAGGTGTAAAATTATAAGACTGTTATAAGACTACCAATGTAATTGGTAAAAGTTCAGGCTGTTCAAGAAATACTTGGAAAAAACCCTGGCCCTGTAGTCATCACTGTCTCAAGTACCAATTCTGTTTTCCCTTCCCTGCTATTTGTTTCAACCAGATATACAGTAGATACTTTTGACTCCGAATTCACCTCTTCCCTCCTATCCCACTGTCTCACAGCCCCATTTCTTCCCATTGAGTAATTTATGAGTTAGACAGTCTCCAAAATATCCTGATGGTGTGGTTTAACGCCAGCTGGCAGTTCAGCCCCACATAGCCACTCACTCCTCTCAGTGGTTTAGGGGAGAGAATCAGAAGGGGGAAAATGAGAAAACTCATGGGTTGAGATTCAGACAGTTTAATAGGTAAAGGAAAAGCTGCAGCCACAAGCAAAGCAAAACAAGGAATTTATTCACTGTTTCCCATGGGCAGGCAGGTGCTCAGCCATCCCCAGGAAAGCAGAACTTTCTGGGGGAAAGCCCCATAGCTCCATAGTGATGACTCAGGAAGACAAATACCATCACTCTGAATGTCTCCCACTTCCTTCTTCTTCCCCCAACTTCATACGCTGAGCATGACAACATGCTGAGCCTGGGATATCCCTTTGGTCGGTTGCAATCAGCAGTCCCAGATGTGTCCGCTCACAACTCCTTGTGTACCACCAGTCTCCTCACTGGTGGGGTGGGGTGAGGACCAGAAAAGGCCTTGATGCTGCGAGAGCTGCCCAGCAATAACAAAAACACCCCTGTATCATCATCCTTGTTTTCAGTACAAAACCAAAACACTGCCCCCTAACAGCTAGCGTGAGGAAAATTAACTACCCCAGCCAAAACCAGTAATCCTGCTGATTCCTAATAGCAATGGGTTCATTCCAGCAGCTCTCAGCATTCAAAAGGCCGAAGCAAATGAAAAGGGTCTGATTATATGTTCTGAGTGCAGAATTTTACTGAGCTTGTGTGTCAATCTCTGCTTTTAGCAGCAATAATGTGAAGTCAGAATAGTTACGGTAATCTAGTAAATGTGTGGAACCATTACAAACTTGCATTACATTACCTTGGAGTAAGAGCTGAGGCAGCAAATATGTAAAAACATACTTTGCTACAACAGAACTCAGACTCATATTGATAATAGCCACACAGAGCTGTTCTGTTACACCCAGTGCAAATCTGGTGCATGGAACAATAACAGACAAAAAAGAAATTAATAAAATCCTTGTTACTACAACTGCTCAACAGTATCACCACTTCCTCTTGTGCTTTCTTAAGTTTCCCAGGGGCAACACTAATGGGAAAAAAAAAAAGCCCAAAGATACGATTCAGTCTAAATCTTCTGGGTTCATTCAAGTAGAAAACATTAAACATCACTCCAGACACAAAGCACCAGCACTGCTGTTAAGCTTTGTGATAATGAAGGGTAACACATCTATGGAGCAGTCAATGGAATGCACACTGTAAATCAGGAAAAGCAATAGCCACTCATGAACAGTGGTAATTGGGATACAACACTGAGAGCCAATCAAACAGCACAGGAGAGTTACGGCTTTCATGTGAATAATTTATTCTTTTAGCAATTTAAATTTTACCAGGTACTTATTTACAAAGAAACTTTTTGTGGACAGAATTTACATCAGCTACTGCACAATTTTATTAATTACTAGGGTATGATTAGCATCCTTCCCATGTTGTTTAACAGTGTTGGTTTTGATCAAATAGGGTTATTCTTTTGCCAATTATTTTTTTGACTTAGTTTCCAAATATGAACAGAAATTTTACACGTGCCTTTGCTGCAAGTAATGATTTCTTTTTACAGAACTACTTAATAGATGGAATCAGTAAAGTTCCATCTGTTATTAGCATTTCTTTATTGAAGTTGGGATTTAGTTTTAGATTCAATGAAGGTTTTAGGCATTTCCATGTCAGGCACTACATGCCTCTTTACTGAGACGGTACCCCTGAGAATTCAAGTTACCTGCTTGGCCTCCCAGTACAGTACATGAAGTAGCTCACCTTGGACTGGTAACCCAAAATACAGAGCCTGTCTGGAAAAGCTTTCCAAAGAAAACTTGCCCAATTGTACAAACATTTACCACATCTGTCCTGATTTACCCATCCAAGAGCTGGAGCCTGGAATATACCCAGAATACAATGTGCAGGAGCCTGTGTGTGCTTTTGGAGGATTTGCAAGAAGCTCACCCCTGAAAAAAGCCTTCTTCTCAACAGCCATCTAGTTTTGAGAATGCACACGCGTGTGCACACACACATGAAGTGCAAGGCCTCAGTTTAGCCCTTACTCAGCTTATGGGAATTCAAGCCTAAATCCTCAAGCAGATGACCTTGAAAACAGGAGTACTCTAGGAAGGAAAAATTTTTGCCTGAAAAATTAGATCAGAAAAATAATCTTCTGCACGTCCCACTAAAATGGGAGGACTAGAAGATTCATGGAGAAGAAAGCTCCAAGAAGTCCTTTAGTCCATTGACAATGAGGCACTGGGAGATGTGGAGATGAGGCACTGGGAGATGCTTGCAGGCTAAGAAAGCACACACAGATCTCCATGTTCCCACGCAAACACAGTAGCCTTCAGGTTACTCTAGATAAAACAGCTCTGTCTTTAAAGCAAAACATACGACACTTGAGGGTGGCCTGGCCCTTTATATTGTACCATAAAACCCTAATAGATCAGTGGCTTCTGGGTATCCCATCATCTAGTTTCAAAGGAGTTGAGGTGGTCAGAAGGTAGGTGTGGAACCACTGAGTTGGGCAGTTCCAAGTGGGTGGAGAAGAACTGCTCAGCACCTCTGCATGTCAAAAGGACAGTTGTGGCTAGGTTTGAATTAAACTGGAGAGTTCTGGGATGACAATTTTGGTCTTCAAATGCCTGAAGATTACCTAAATTTTGGTTTTTGTGCCCAAGTTTCGGGGGGTTGTTTTGGTGAAGAAGTAATTGGGGGGAAAAAACAACTCTCAGTAAACCTGCCTCATGCTTACCAGGGAGGAAACAGAGGCCACAGAGTAGGAAATCTGGTTACAAACATACCTCTGCTGTCAATCATCGGGCTGTGGCTATGCAGAGTGTACAAAGGAAACAGGTTTGATAGACAGCTGCTAATGAAGCCCAGACTGCCCCCAGTGACACTGTGTAAACAGTGAAAGCGGGTAAGCACTTGATTCAACCTTTTCTAAAAATAGGAACTAGCAAAAATACAAATCATTGCAGGTTCATTGAATGCTTATTACTGTAGAACTTATTTCTAAATGTCTTTCTTCATAGTGCACAACAACAAATACTGGAAGAAAGGATATGGTTCATTCTTTCACGGAAGTTTGCAGCTATTTTCACAGCTTAAATCATGGAGACTTCCCAAAACTCATTTAAAAGCATTTTCATGCATTAGCAGGAATATAAGTGCTTAATTAATGCTTAATTAATAGGAATGCAAAAGCTGGCTTAATGCCTCGCTATGCTGTAGTATAGGAACTATACTACATAATACTTGAAACTATGAAATCGTTATGCATTGTAAGATAAAACAGACATTTCCTTGTGTGTGTTCCTGTGACTCTACTATTTCAAAATCTGGCCTAGCACTTATGATAAGTTTAAGTATGTACCCAAGTGTTTCACTACCTAGCTTGAAATACTTTCTATAGTTAACATAAAAATTATGCCAAAGGCAAACACATACTTTTTCTTTCCTGCTCAAGCCACAATGCTATAATTTAATTTAGAGTCAACATTTCCAAGGATTCTTGTCTGAGAAGTAAATCCAACACTCTGTGAATGGTATTAAATTCCACGGCACCAACCTATACTGAGGCTAAGACAAACATCCCACTCTGCAGGCCTACAGCTCCTGCCTGGCTGATGCTTTAATTAGTTCACTAGGGAATAGGCTCACTTGGCAAAGAACTTCTAGGACTGAACCACTGTTTTCTATAGCATGGCTAACCAGATCAACTGCGTTAAAACCCTGTGCAAGACAGACGGAGAAAAATAAAAAAAAAACAAAACAAGAACATTTAGGTGAAGGAAAGAAGTATCTACAAACTTCACTACTCTCTTTTGTAAAGATGGTGTCTCTTAGGACAGAGCCTGCTGTCTTCCTTTGGAACTAGCAATTACATATAAGAAGGCTAAAGTCCCGTTTAACAAAAACATCTTAATAAAACATAAAAAAATCTGCTTTCTTTGATGTAAGATCCCTATGTCTTTCTAAAATATGAATCTATACAAGAACTTTGAGTATAAACAATTCTCTTCCACAGTCCATGCCAGTTCCACACTGAGTATACAGTGATGTACCAGCAAAAACATGGGTTCCTTTTTTCAGAAAAGGTTTCTCAGTGATTTACCATAAAGCTAAAACATTTGCCTTGCCTGCTGATTTTTTTTGCAATATAAAATGTATAAAATAAATGCATGTGTCTTTTTCAATACAGTCTGTCTGTGTAGACAATATACTCTTTTCCAGTTCTGAGTAACATGACAAAAAGTATACTCCAACTTTCCACAGGCAAGAAGGAGCTTTGTATGGTTTTGTCTCATTAGGATGCTGCTCCACAAACAGCTCTCCTGGGCAGCTTAGAATCACAATGACAGAGTACGCCATCAGCACGTACTGCAATTAACAAGGACTTATTGATTACAGCAATCATGAGATCAAAATAAATAAAGCAGTCTCTCAATCAAAAGATAGGGAGGTAACATCATGCTAGTGCACAATATAATCGCCATGTGTCGCGCATTCCTATTTTCCATGTCCTCCTTTGATGGTCTTGAACCAAGCTGGAAAAGCCTCTTGCCACAGGATACTGAACATGCAGTGAAACATTTAAGCTGTTTGCAGTCAGTTTCAAAGAACTTACATTTGGTTTAGGTTAACCTTCCTTGACCTGCTGTTAATTAAAGAGCAGCTGAAGTACAAAGTTTTTCCCCAGCTCTAGTGGCATACATGGTCACATCAACTGGCTGCAATCTGAACAGCTTCAGTTCATTTTTGTTATAATTTAAAATCTCTGATTAAAAAAAGCAATAAAACGTCTTTTTATATAGAAACCGTTGCCTTTTTCAGATAAAGAACACATCAACATTTCATATGTGCTATAATATGCCACATTTTAAAAAGGTAACTTGTTTGGGTTTTTTTTGTATTCTAAGTAAAACATGTGGCACTCATTTCTGTTACTTAAAACTTTAAGTCTGGTATGTGTTAAATCATCTGTGGTTGAAATTTCAGGGACCACACAGTGCCACATCTTCCTTAAACCATCTATTGCACCAGAAATGAAAGGCTGTGATGAAGATGTTCCTCCTATACTTTTTTGACACAGGAAATAGCTGGTTTAACATAAAAACAAATTCAGCTAAACTATGTTGCCAGCAGTTTATCCCCTGGTATCATCCCAGAGGGAAAAACCCCAAATAGCAGAAAAAGCTCCAACCCAGATTGCAACTATGTGTAAACACACAACCAATACTAACGTCCCATTATGACACTGTAGTCAGGAATATTTTAGATATCCAGGTGTAAAAACGTTTTTCTCAGATTGGGAATTGGCACAAACATAATCCAGAGATTATCCAATATAGCAGCTTTTACTTTCATGTGCTTGGCTTTTCACACAAAGCACAGCAAACATGAGAAGAGTTACAACCGGCTCAAAATCTTGGGAGCAGAGAGGAGGAAAGGGGGAGCCCCTTTTCTCTGCAGACTCACCAGGGTGAATCCCCTCTGTTAGGTGGGAGTTTGTGGGTCTCCCACAGCTGCAACCCAGCTCCCCTCTCAGGAAGCCAGAGCCAGGCTGACCACCTCACAGTGGGAGGGAGCCCTCCTGGTCCCCTGCTTTGTCCAGCCTCTCAGGCAGGATAAGCACAAAGGGTAGGAGAACACCCTTGACATCCAAGGGAGCTTTGAGAAGCTCCCCATCAAAAGTGCCCTTGAGCCCACCATCTGCTTCCACCTCGCCGTCCTGGGCTAGGCTGAAGCGAAGGGTGCCGGTCCGGTTGACGCAGTAGATGGTGTTGCCCAAGGGGGCACAGCGGAAGGGCTGGATGGGGCCGCCGCTGGGCCGCAAGCTGGCACACTGGCTCCAGCATTTGGCCACTGTGTTGTACCGGAAAACTTCGACACCACCAGCAGTCCCAACACCTGGGCCCGGCTCCCCACCACGGCCACTGCTCACGTCAAAGCGGTAGATGAAGCTCTTGAAGGCTACCATGTCTGCTGAGCGCCGGCGGCTGCTGTTGTAAGGGCACTCCTGCCACTCGTCACGTTTGGGGTCATACTTGAGCAGGCGGTAGAAGAGGGAGCCTCCTGACACATAGATCTCCCCGTTGCAAGTGGTGGCCTCATGAGCCACAGCGAAGGCACCCTTGGGCAGAGGTGCCACAGGGCTCCAGCGGTCGGCCCGCGGGTCGTACCTCTCCACAGTGAAGAGGCACTCACCCCCCACAGCGTACAGGTAACCATCCAGGGCCAGCAGCTTGAGCTGCGAGCGGGGCTGGGCCAGCGGCCGCACCTGGCTCCAGGTGTCAGTGAGGGGGTTGTAGCAGAAGACCTTGTCGGAAAGGCGGGCCCTGGGCTCGCTGCCTGCCGGCCCTGTCACGATACCCCCTGCAAGGAAGAGGTAGTTGTGCAGGACACACATGGCACAGCCCTTGGCATTGGCCTCCTCGGGCAGGCGTGTCAGCACCCTCCACTCGCCGCTGGCCTCCTGGTAGCAGTGGATGAGGGAGCCACTCTCCTCCAGGGACACCACGGAGGAGGGGCTTTGCGGCCGGCTGCTTTCGCGGCTCTGTGGCCGGCTGCCGCCACCCGGCCGCTCGAAGGCATCGCTGACCTCGGCCACCAGCAGGCAGGGCCGGCCGGCCTCCATGCGCCGCTGCAGGATGAGGTCCCGCTCAGTGCCGCTGAGGCGGCCATACACGCTGGGCTCCCGCAGCACCTCCAGGTAATGGTCGCTCATGAAGCGATAGGCAGCCTCCCGCAGCTCCGCCAGCCGCTGCTTCTTGGCCAGGCAGAGGAGCTGGTAGCAGTTGCCGAGGCAGAGCTGGGCGCGCATGGCCTCGGCGGCACAGTGCAGGGCACACGGCATCTGCAGGACGCGGGCGCCGCTCACCACCTCCGCCAGGTTGTCGTGCCGCACCTCTCCCATGCGGGCCGTGTACACGTAGTCGATGAGAAGCCGCAGCGCCCCGTAGCTCACTCCCTTCACCCGCAGGACGTCCCGGGAGGCGCGGGCACGAAAGTAGTCACTCTTGGCCGCCAGCACCGACTTGTGCGCCCGAATGCGACGCCCCGACACCTCGATCACAAGGTCGGGCTCCTCCGCCGGCCGGTCCCGCGGCCCCACCACCTCCTCATCGTCCTCCTCCGGCTGGCTGGCGGCGTTGTTGATCTCCCACTGGCTCTGCACCACCCGGCCGCCAGCCGCGGACGGCTGCGGCTCGGCGGCGGCGGCGCTGAAGCAGAGGGAGGAGCTGAAGCCGCAGGGGGCGGCCGGGGTGGGCGGCGGCGGCGGCGGGGGGGCCCCGTTCGCGACCCCGCTCTCCTCCTCCTCCGGGGCCGCGCTGCCCTCCATGGAGCCCTCCATGGAGCCGCGCTACCTTTGGCGGCGCCGCGCCGAGCCCGTGCGGAGCGCTGCCGGCCGCGGCGGGGCGGCCATCACCTGCGGGGGACACACAACAGCACTCAGCATCCGCGCCGGCCTCCGCTCACCCTCCGCCCCTTTCACCCCACTTCTCCGGCTTAATACTGGAAGCACTGCTCTCGCAGGCGGGGCCGTCTCTGGTTTCCGGGGCTAAACCTCCGCTTCTGCTTTCCCTGTGGAATCCACCCTGCGGCTCTGCCGGCTCCCGCTGCCCGGGGTTACTTGCGGTAGCTCAAGTAACCCAAAAACCTGAGCTCTCTTAGTGGGACGGGGGTCGCCCCGATAAGCACCACAACAGCCTTAAAAGCAACTCCGTTTCTCCTGTAGCTATGCAAAAACTTTAATCAGTTTGCAGGCAGTGCATCCTTTTCTTGACAACTGGTCCCTACTCTGTGCTGGGTGATGAGGAAAAATGTCCTTAAAAGGCAGATACTCAGGAGTACTATAACAATGTATTCACCTTGTGCAACTTTGTCAGTGGAAGGCCGCAGTTGCAATCGATTCTGGAAGACGATTTCCCACTAGTCAAGTTCGTCTTTGCATGACCTTTGCGAAGTATGCTTCTTATCACTGCTCCTTATATGCATTCCCCCTGTTTAAAAGAAAGTTGATTCGTTTTAAAATCGATACATTCTCTGTTCACTGAGAAGTTTGGGACTATTAGAGTTACGTTTCCTTTAATAGGATATCTAGAGTATCTCAAAGGGACTATAAGTATGCTAATAATTCTATTTGTTTCCAAAACATATTAAAGGACTTTTCCTATTGTTAGGACAAGCAATTTCACACGTATGTAGCAGCATATGTGGCTGAAATGCATTAGCAAGGTGTAAATCAGATTTCATATGTCTGAAAGATTTATAGCTTCTGTTAATAAACAGTAGAAACAAGTAAAAAAAATCACAATAGATAATTAGAACATGAAGTCTCTTCTGGGAAACAGCAGGCTACAGGACATGACTGTAAGTAGGTTAGTCCCCGTCAGCACAATCACCACCCAGTTGTACCTTCATTTCACAAATGTAGTTTTTAGAATTTAAAAAAGTGCCATTTGTTTGCCTCATGTTCATTTATGAATTTCCCAGGCTCGATTTAGGCTTTGATGAATGACACATGAAAATTGTCCAAATGTACTTAATTTCATTTAATAAGTATCTGCAGCTTTGATTCTATGTTTAAGGAGGTTATTAATTTCCATTCAAATCCCCATTAGCAGTTTTTTCACAGTTCTCAAGGAACACTAATTTCTATGTAAAATATGCATTGTGACTCCTTTCAGCAGAGATGATTCGTTTACCTTATTAAATTAATATTAGGAAAATCTAACTTTCTGATTTTTTTTTTTTTTTAATTACTGAAAGCATAATTGGTAAGTGACATTGTCTGGAAACCCCTGACACATACATGAAACCTAGAAGCCCATACCTGCACATGCAAACTTTTACTTAAATGGTAGTATCAGTCTTCTTATGGGTTTTTATTTTGTGGACTTGCCCTGTGAAGCTGCTGTCTACATTTGATCATATTCAGTCAGACTGAATCAATGATGATATTTGATTTCTGGGCATTTGAGACTTGGAGACCATGATAAGGTTTTAATAGCATTTGAATACTGCTTACTAGAATAAGCAGATTTCACAAACTTTGTATTCCTCATCTGGGTGTTCAAAAATCTGGCAGAGGAACTTTCTATGACATTGTATGAACTTTGGATAGTCTTACTGGCAAACTTCCTGCAGTCCAGACACAGACTCTGTAGGTCAGGTTCTACTGAGTTTTCTGCAGCTTTAAACAGACAAGAAGAAATGCAGTGATCTGTGTGTACACAAGGTGTGTCTGTGAAAGATTTATAGATTCATTATTAACTTAAACTGGGAAGCATCCCTATTGATGTGATTATGTTTGTCATTGAGCCTTCACAGTACTGAATTCACTATTTAACCGTTTTTTTGTACTATTTTATTATGCTTTAGACACTGAGATTAATCTTCTTTTTGCTCCAGGCCTTCCAGAGCCCTGATAATCAGCTTTCTTTGAGAGCAACTACTGTAACTGACACCTCACTTTTGACACCACTTTTACTTATGTTCCCCCTCTACAAGAAGGAATGAATAGCATCAGATAGTTTCAAGTTCTCAGTCTACAGCTCGATTTTGCAAGTGAAATTATAAAGGAAGAATGAAAGAGAATGCCACAAAAAAGTAAAAGTGTGGGTGACTAAATGTGAGAAGCCAAAACCAGTAACTGTAATACTAATAATATCTCTGTATGGTGAGATATATTTCCTGCATTATGCCTCAAAGGAGAATCACCGTTTAGAATATTCGAAGTCATTAAAACAGCAACAAGAAAAAAGTGATCTTTTCAATTTTCTCAGCTAGTGAAAATAGAAGAAAAAGGGTGACACCCTCCTAAGCACAGTTATCATACCTTTCCTCATATTCATATATCTGCTTGGCTTAGAAGTTTGACTTGACACTCAAATGTTATTGAGATAGAAGCTGCCAGCCACTGCAGTCGTAACAAACACATGTATGTATCCTCCTGAGGAATCACAAGGAGAAAGGACTGATGCTATGGCTTCCTAATGACAAACAGCAGAATTCTGAAGAAAATTATCTGCTGGTATATCTAAAGCTAACCATCAAGAACATGTTGAATTTTATGCTGAGCATGAACAAGACTTCAATCAAAGTATCACGTGCAGTTAAGGCAACAAGGAACTCTACAGGGAAGCTGAAGAAAAGCTGAAAGAGGGTTGGAGGACTTTTGTCAATGACAGCAGTGACCACTCCAGCAATCTCAGCACCTTTGTCTAGCTGAAAACCAAAAACAGTCATTACACAAAGATGAAGCTGAAAAAACAATTCAGAGAAGCTGTGGACCCTTCCCATTATTGAGCAACACGACTGATCTGAGTTAAAAGGTCATAGATTTAGTATAAAACAGGAAGATGCTGAATAGGGCTGATGGAAATACAATACTGAACTACTTCTCCATTCTTTTTTTATCTACAATGATCAAAGAGTTGTATTGCTGTTCTAACAACACAGAACATTCAAAAGTTAAAGAATCGCAGAAGATACTTGATAGCTGTGCTGATTTGGAAGAATCTGACCCCCTAACAAACTCATTTGGTTTGAAACATACTTAGTTTTAGCACTTTTTTCAACTCAGAAACAGGATAGGTAGTGGAAAAGGAAGCAATCTGTTTACAGCACACGGTATCTGTGGACTAATGTCACTTTTTATACGGGGGACTTTTAAGTCAGAAGTTGAATTACTTGGACTGAAACTGTTTTCATTATCACGGGCTTGGTCTAGGGATGATGTAATGTTAATGGACAGAGGAGCTGCCAACAAACATGAACTGTTTTTACAGACTTGGCAATGACACAATTACAATATCCTGGATGTGTGGCCCCAACCTCAGATGCTGAGAGACATTGCTCAAGTAACAGCACAGATAAGAAGGCGTAGTTTTTCTGACAGAGAAACTGTAATGAAGAGCTGCAGGTAAAGTTTCCTGCATTCATTTGGCAGTCCTTCTGATAAAATCCAATTAAGTGCTTGTATTGCATTGTTCTCTCTTTATTTTTTTTCGTGCAGTGCCAATAACCTTTGACCCAAACCTTGTGCTCTAGCAAGACCCACTTTCTCTGGGGAATACACGCATGTGGGAGGAACTGGGTTACTGCTCTGCAGTTTACAAATGGAAACTGCTCTAAGTCTCAGGGTAAATAAAAGCAGTGCTTTCCCTATCATAAGCAACTCTAATTTACATAAGCAGGCTGTCCTCTCCAAGAGACACACCAGTTCAGAAATGATAGAATGCCATTCTGCTCTACCTTAGTCCAGGAAATGCTTTTGGAAAAAACTTGTACTGCCAAATTTTACTTCAGTAGAGAATTCCCTTGGGATATGGGCGTCATCTGATTTGAGATGATTAAGGCATCCAAAGAGGCAGGATCATCAAAAGAGAAAAAACATCCCCTGTATTTATTTAAAAAACTAAACGATGACTTAAAAGTAGAACTCGCCAGTATGAAGACATCCAGCTCAGATCACATGGCAAAATCTTGTAGGAGGCAGAGTCAAGTGTAGAGTGGTTTGCATATGTATAAAAATGGTCTGTTACACTCCTGCTCATTGAGTAGATGTGTGAAATCTGGAGGAAAAAATGTTCTCTTTGTAAATGGGGAAAACATCTGCAACATAAAGATGCCATTTTTCTGAAAGGGCTTGCACCAACTGAATTCTTGGATCCTATTACACATTTTATCTCTACATTTTAACCATTTGATTAACCTCCTGTTTGTAAGAAAAAAAGACAATTGTGCCACCTGAAGAAATATAGTGGGAAGAATAATTCTTTTTTTTCCCCTTTTTTAAAATTAGGAGTGCTCAAAACTATACAGTCCTACAGGGTTACAATACAGTCCTAGTGTCTTGCCCTGACTGATGGATGTATGTCTTTTGTAGTATTGCATTCACACTCAAGCTGTCTATGCAGCTTCCTTATGACCTTTCAAGGTCCTGTAATTTTCTCGCAACACGTAATAGAGGTACATGTTCCTATCTCATAACTACAAAATTTTCATAAAACCATAAAGGAAAAAAAATTAAGAAATGCAGCTTATGATTATAGATCACACAAGGCACATGTGAGCAGCAATTCCTCATCAGAAACTCTGAGGAAGAAAAGGCTATGTGTGTCTGGGCAGGGAGGAAGAGAGAGAGGAAGTAAGTCATAATAAAAATATTATCAAAAGCCTGATTAAATCAATATTACAGCTAGCAAATCCAAACTAAAAATATACAAGCTCTAAACAGTCATCATGACCAGAGAAAAGGTTTCCTTACAGCAATATCCATAGAGGCAAATGCTCCCTAAAAAGGAAACTATCTTTTTGAGTTCCTACCAGTTTAGACTCCTCAGAAATAGGGAGGAGCAGGGTCTCTCAGGAGTTATCACAGCAAAAAGGAAATAACACTCCCACAAAAGCAAAATCTAGCTCCAATATGTCTAAGAGAAAAGTAAGTCCAACAAAAAAAGAAGAGCTGGAAACAAGTTTTGAGTGATTACAATACCTCTGAGAAAAACTCTAGGGCTGATGTGATGTCTATCACTAATGCTCTACAGATCAGGAGATTATGGCATGGCAATACCACACTGAATGCAATAAAACTCTTTATGCACAATTTCTGCTAATTCTACACATGGGCTGGCAACTATCTAGTTCTAGATATAAGGTGAGAGCATGTGGTCATGCCTGTGATAAACTGAAGTTTGGTTGCTTTCATCGTATCTGGGCACAGCTAACACTACATTTAGTGAACAGTGGTACCAAACACACCAACATGGTGCTATAGCTGAAAGAATAAACACAGTCCTTGAATGTGTATACTGGGAAATAAGGAGTAACAGTAGTGAAAACGTTACCTTTCATCTATAGCATTAGGAAGTTTGCAATGGAACATGGTGGATGAACGGATGGAAGCGTGTATGTTCTAGGCTTTACATTTTGGAAGTAGCATTTAAAAATCTGTGAGGACAGGGAAAAGTACTAAATTATTTCACAGATATTAAAA